TGTGAGCAGCAGGCATGCACAGTGCACACAGACATACATGCTGAACAAACAGTAATCTCATTTTGAAGTCTAGGATAGCCTTGAACTCTATATTCCTGCCTCACTGTGCATGCGTGCGTGCGTGCGTGAGTGTGTGTGTGTGTGTGTGTGTGTGTGTGTGTGTGTGTGTGTGTTTGAGACAGAGTTTCTCTATGTAACAGTACTGGCTGTCCTGGAACTTGCTTTATAGACCAGGTAGGCCTTGAATTCACAGAGATCTGCCTGCCTTTGCTTCCTGAGTGCTGGGATTAAAGGTGTGTGCCACCATCGTCCGGCCCCATCTCACTTTTAAGGGAAAGTAACAATAGGGATTATCTTGTTTTTAAAAAGATTATGAACATGTTCTACTTTTCCTTCTTAAGGTCAGGCTCCTTCCTGCCTTCCTTTCTGTTTTCCTTCCTTCCCTCCTTTCTTTTTTTCTGTTCCTTTTTTGACAAGGTCTCATGATGTCCAATCTAGCCTAGAACTCACTATGTGGCTGAGACTGACTTTGAACTCCTGATCTCCCACCTCCTCTTTCCCAGTGCCAGGATTACAGGCCTATGCTACCATACCCTGCTGGTCAGACTATCTTTCAAGACAGACAGCTTCAATTCTATCAGATGTTTTCTACTTCCTTATCTAACACTTGGCTACCTTTCTTCATCAGTCTATTCATGAGACAGAGACACAGTGCTTACCCCTTATTGCTCTCTATTGGCCACATAGGATCCTATGCCTGTCATGTTTTAGTGTATGCGTGGCTGTCCAGAGGCAGAGATAAATGTAAGAGGTCAGATTTGACCTAAGAGGTTGGTGGCAGCTGCGCACCTGAACATTTGCAGGATTCTCCTTGGCAGAAGCATTACCTCCAGATGGATGGTTCTGGAATCCATAGAGTTCCAAAAAAAAGAAGGAGGAGGAGGAGCAGGAAGAGGAGGAGGAGGAGGAAGAGGAGAAGAAGAAGAAGAAGAAGAAGAAGAAGAAGAAGAAGAAGAAGAAGAAGAAGTTGTTGTTGTTCACTGTCATAAGAATAAAAATGTGGTAGGAAAGACCAAAGAAAGGCAATGGGCAGCTGGCTCCAGCTTGGATATCTGGGTGAGTGATGGTACTCTGAGCCCAGAGAGAAGGCTGGTGCAGGAGCAGGTTTGGAGGTCACAGATGAAGAAGATGAACTAACGTTGGGGCATGATGGTTTTGAGATTATTGTGGGACATCCAAGCACAGCTGTCTAAAAGGCAGTTGGATATGTGTTCTCCAGCCAGGTCTAGGAGACAGAAACAGAACAAGGAGCCATCAGAATGTAGTGGTGAAAGAAGCCACAGAGCAGTTAAGATTACGACTGTGTGCATGAGAAGAGGCTTTTGGGTGGAAGCCAACCTTCAAAGAGCAAGCAGAAGACAAGGAAACTGCAAAGGACTCGCCAACAATTTCAGGCTAATGTGAATCAATTGCCGAAATAGTCACATTTTTCCTGGTATAAATATCACAAATAACAATACTGAGATGATTTTGCTAATTTTATCTGACTACAATACAGATAAATGTCATATTTCAAAATTGAACTTACAGCTAGGTATAGTGGCTCATGTCTGCTATTCCAGCTGAGGCAAGACAACTAGTAGGTCAGAGCCAGACTGAGCAACAGACAAACCTGTCTAAAACAAAACAAAACAACAACAACAACAGACCCTATATTTATTAGGTTTACTCCAAAAGAAATGCAAGTACCGGTAACCACAAGACAAGCTGTTTGACCTCTCCGGAAGAAATGCCAATCAAAATACAATCAGGCCAGGGGTAGTGTACATCTTTAATCTCAGCACTCAGGAGGCAAAGGCAGGCAGATCTCTACAATTTCAAGGCTAGTCTAATCTACTTAAATCTACTTAGCCAGGTCCATGCCATCCAAAGATACATGGTAAGACCATGTCTCAAAAAAAAAAAAAAAAAAAAAGGAAAGAAAGAAAGGAAAGGAAAGGAAAGGAAAAAACACAAATCAAGATGGACTTTGGAGAAGAATTTTTAATAAAATAATAACTTTCAACCAATAAAATAAACTTAAAAATGAAATTTGTCCCCTTAAGCCATGTCCTAATATGAATTTTCTTCCTGATGAAACAGAGAAGTTAACCAGAGACTCTCACATGCTTAGAGAGTATTGCTTAGAAGGAAGCATGCTTCCAGGGCCTACAGCTAAGTCATTTGTGCTGATACCCAAGTCTGCAGGCTCCAGCAGTGCCGACAACAGCTACAACTCAGAAATCCTTCCTAATGACCCCAGCGACCAATTCAGAGGCTTTCCAAAGATACTGGTAAAAAGCCAAGAAAAATGTTTTATTCAAACATGAACGAGTGCAAACAAGGTCTCATGGTTCCAACAGTAAATAGTGATGATCATGATGACTGGATGCTATAGTTACTCAGCTCTCTGCTTACTTTTAAACAGAGAGTCATCAACTGTATGACTGAAGAGTGATTTAATCTGCTTATCTTTTAAAACTTTTCCTAAAAATAAAGTCAGACATAAGGGAAAAAAATTCACTTTTGTAGTCCAAGTCTAGGAAAGATGGACGTTGAGCTCCATTCACACCATTCACTAAAATAATTTCCAAATATTCAAAGAATTAAATCTAAGGGAACCTTTTAAAAGGGAAAATGGCTATCTGTTCTTTAGAAGAAGGACTGAGCTTTAAAAACTAGAAAATTTGAAGCCAGGTGTGGAAGAACAAACCTTTAATCACAGCCTAGGTGGGCAGAGACAGGCATCGCTCTGTGAATTTGAGGCCAGCCTGGTCTACATGGTAAGTTCCAGGATAGTCAGGGCTGCATAGAAAGATGCTGTTTCAAAAAAAATAAACTAAAATAAAAATCAAGGATGGAAAGATGACTCAGTGGTTAAGAGCACTTTCTTTCTTCAAGAGGACCCAGGTTCAATTCTAAGCAGGCACATAGTTGCCCACAAACATCCACAGCTCCATTTCCAGGGATCTGATCCCCTCTTCTGACCTCTGAAGGCACGAGGCATAAACATGGTGCATTGACATACGTGTAGGCAAAACATTAATACACATAAAATAAAATTAAAAAATCATACACATACATGCACACACACACTAGAGGAAAAGGTGTGGCTTGGAACACTAATATCATATCTCAACTGAGAATTTACCCAAGAAGGAGCAAAAATAAGTACTACAACATGATAAAAACAGTTCAACTTCACTAACATTCAAAGGAACACAAATTAAAACAACGTGCCACTTTCAGCCTCAGATTAGCACAGATATTCTTAAATGACAACAATATACTAGGGCAAAATTAATGTGAGAAAACAGATTACCCTCATACATTGCTGGCTTAGAGTGTGAATTTGTACACCCCATCTAAAATTCAATTAGCATCTGATAATGAGCCATAAAATATCACACCCTTTGATGTGGTAACCAATTTCTAGGAACCCTGAATGACCAAATCTTGTTCATTGTAACATTATGGAGAGAAACATAAAATAACAACAATTTGGAACTATTTAATAAGAAGATGAATAGCATAATGTCATCAAAAACTGTCTTCATAGCTGGGCATAGCGGAGTATGCCTTTCATTTTAGCACTTGAGACAGAGGCAGGTGAATCTCTATGAGTTCAAGGCTAGCCTGGTCTACATAGTGAGTTCCAGGACAGCCAGAGCTACATAGTAAGACCCTGTTTTTTAAAAATGTCTTCACAAGTATTTTCAGAGGCTGGGGATACAGCTGAGTCGGTAGAAGGCTTGCCTAGCACACACAAAGTCTGGGTTCTCTCACCAGTGTTGATAAGGCAGGTGTATATCTATCATTCCAGCATTCTAGGCCAGGAGCATAAGGTAGGAGTTTAGACTCACCTTTGGCAACATAGAGAGTTTGAGGCTAGTTTGGACTACATGTGGCTTTGTCTCAAAAGGACAACAAAAAGTCATATAGAAAGTTCTATAAAGTCAAGTTACGTGACAAAGTTCAAAATTGTATTCATGCTAGAAATTAAGTGATTTAAATGTTACGATGCACACCTAATATTCCTATTCTGTTCCTGCCTGTTCTGCACTGTCTTGAGGAAATAGCTGGCTTTTCTCTGAATTTGGAGAGCCTACGTGCGGTAACCTCCCCTTTATAAAATATGGGTTATGCAGTACAAAGGCAATCTGTTCTCTATGTCAATGAATTCATCATCTCCAAAAGAAGTTTAGGCGGGGTCCACACTTGAGTAATTGCAGGTGGCTTCCTCAAAGGAGGTAATGAAAGGAAGTGAAAAACAGTCATTCCCTTGAAGAACAAACAAAGAACCAACGAAACGTGTGTTAAGTGTATACGGGTGTGTGAACACATTTTAAAGACTAGAAAAGAATATCCTAAAATACTGGAAGTGGTTTTCTAAGTAGAGATATTCTAGAAGTGCATTAAGTGATAACCTCAAGACGCATGGGGCCACTTACACTAAATTAAATTCAACTTAATTTAAAATTCCCTCATTCCATTGCAGTAGTCACATTTCAAGGGCTTAATAGCCAAGGTAGCAAGAGCCTACCGAATCAGACAAAGATCTAGATCATTTTAGTTATCACATAAAGATAAGTTGGACAGTGCTATTCTAAATCATGCTTTTTAAAGTGCTCTGTCCAAATGTATTACAATATGCATTGCAACAATTCCTCTTACAAACGGGTTGGGGGAAGGATGCTATCAGAGAAGGAAACGGGATCCACGGAAAAAACAATCACATTACAGGTGCAGAGACCACATTCTCTAGAGAGGAGCCTGGGGAAATAATATCCTGTGGGGACATGTAGTAGTCAGGGACACAGGAACTCAGGGACCATCAGGAAAGGGAGATGTGAGTGCAGCAGACATTCCAAGGGAAGAAAAGACACAGAAACTCGAGCAGCAAGGGTGGGGAAGAAGGTTGTTAGAACAAGAATCACCGGTTCTTGTCTCTCCCCACTCACCAGCCATTACAGCTGCTGACCGTTGAGCTGGCTCAAAAGGACATTTCCCCCGGCCACTCTCAAGCCTTTCAACCTGCTGGAAACTGGACACATCCTACAGACCAGAAGGGGAGGGGCGGGTGGTTTAGGGTTTATGGGGAGGTTCATGGTGAGAAGTAAACATAAGATCAAACGGAGGAAAAGACCATTTCCATTCATCTCCCACTGCCCCCGCTCCCATCCCCATATTCAGGCATCTCACTCCTGGTTCCTCCGCCCATCCATTTCCCTTCTCTGCTTTACTCCTCTTTGCCCTCAAACCCGTACCCCATACGTCCTCATGAAAGTATACCTAGCCCAGCCCTAGAAATGCCATGAGGCCAGACATAGGTCTGTCCTCTGAAATTCTGGAGTTTGTAGCTACATAACTATGTGAAAGTGCTACAAACAAAAAGAGATGGGAGGAAGCAGACAGTCTTTTGAGGGCTGGGGTTCTGAGGAAGGTAAAGAAAAGCCCAGCTGAAGCTCTGGAGCTTAAAGAAAACAAAGTATCATTTTCCCTCAGCTTGGGAGGAAACACACGGTCTTTTGAAGGCTGGGGCTCTGAAGAAAGGTAAAGAAAAGCCCAGCTGAAGCTCACGAGCTTGAAGAAAACAAAGTATCATTTTCCCTCAGCTCCCACCCAAGGATGGAAGAGAGAGAGGCTCGGGGTCCCATATCCACGCAGAGAAGGAAACTGTGAAGCCGGTGAAGAATGACCCAAAGTTCAGATCATGATCTGAGGGCTTGATAGGCAAGTATCTTCTTCTCTCAGAGACCTCCACAAGGGCGGAGGTGACAGACAGAAGGCTCCCACCAGGGCCAGTCACAAGTGACCTTAGTCTAGCATACAGCACTAGGAGAGTTTCAAGATAACACCTCAAAGTAGAAGCAAATGATGGTTTCACACTAGGACTCAGAGGAACATTACTGTAGTTGGTTTCAAATCAAAGTTATAGCATGGACACGCCAGGAGTGCTGGCTCTAGCTAGCAAACTCAAGTAGACATTGCTTTGGCTGCAGCTTAATTGTTCTGATGCTAGTCAGAGGTGTGAAATAAGGACAAATTCTCTGAACTTAATGCTGGACCATCCCCTTTGTTCCTCTTTGCTGCAAGGTTTGATTTTGCTGATGCAATTCTTAAAGAAAGCCTGTAAAATTGAGATGTAATCTGGTGGCCTCTCCAAAAGGAGACATTGGGTCAAAAGAGCCTTTTGGAATGGAAGACCCCACAGAAGCACCCTCCAGTGTGTGGTAATGAGGACACCCTTGTCTGAAGAGAAAGATGGTTTGTGATTACCTAGGTGCTCTGGCCCTCTAGAAGTGCAGTTAGCACCTACTGTGGCTGCACTTCTTCTCTCTCGTCTGAGCTACTCCTTCCCTATGCTGAGTAGATCCACCCCTGACTTACCTCCACACTTACATCACATCACTCTTTCAGAATCACGTACGCACTCACGAACACACGCACGCACGCACATGCACACTGTCCATCATTGCCTAGAGTACAAATTCTAACTCAACCTACTTATTTCCTACTACTTCTTAAAATGATCTTTGTTCCAAACAAATCACCTATTATTCCTGAAAAACAAACTGTTTTCCCACCTCTGTACCTAAAACTGCTCCCTTTCTTTTCACCAAAGACCAAAAAAGGCCATTTCCTGGTCCCAATCCACTTCAATCTCAATGTATCATTTAGCATATTCATTTCCTTAAAATATTTCTTTCCTTGGCTCTTGAAACTCTATCTTCCTGGAGTCCCTTTTCCCATTTGATATTTGTTTCTCTAGCACCTTCTTTTTCTAGCCCCACCATAAATATTCTTAGGATCTCTCCATAGTCTTTCTAACATATCATTCAAATGTCCCAATCATTCCTCTATTTCCAGCCTTTCTGTTTAAACCACTGGTCAAACCCTCTAAGACTGATGCCCTCCAATGAGCCCCATGCCCTCCAAATCTAAGTCCATATTTCCATTGACTAGTGGGTTTTCTCACAAAGGTTGTCTGTCCGCTTCTTAAAACTCAACATATCAAGACTAGCACCCTCCAGTTTTTCCTAGTGCCATCTTCATATCCTCTAACCTTCTCACCTTTGAGAATGTGAGCCACCCATTAACAGACAGGTTCTGATTATTCTTTGTTCAAAATGACCTTGAACTGATTTGAAAATGGAAGATCGTCTCGCTGATTTTCTCTATTTGTATGTGGAGATACTTCATTACATCATAACCATGTCAGTAGACAGTCTCTCACTAACAACAGTGGTGAAGGCCTGTCCCTAAAGCTGAAATCTGGGGATGGACAGGAAGGCTCTCCCTGAGCAGTGAAATTAGAATTGGCCCTTTGGCCTTGACAAAAAAAAAAATAGAAGGCATATAAAAGACCCAAGATGCATGAATCATGTTAGATGCCATAAGAGATTGAAGCCAGATGAAGCCCCCTGGGTGGCAGGCTGGCCACACAGACAGGGTTGTAGGACATATCTAGACTAACCCAGCTCAAATATTGGCTCTGCCTCTGCTAATTGCATAATCTTAGCCATGGTATCTGAATTGTCTGCTTCCTTGCTTATAAAATAGAAGTAAATCATACCTGAATATCATGATATGATGATAAATTTAAACTTAATTGTGAACATAAGGTACCTAAGCCCACAATGGAGTGAATGGCCATTGTCTTTCTGGTGATCGTTATTGAAGCCTAGTACTTTTCTCTATTAATGGCTGGAGTTCTCTCAACAAGTCACATTAAAATATTGTCTTCCAATGTGTGACGGACGCTGGAACTGAAAGACAGGACTCCACTGCTAACACTGGCAGAGCCGGGGCTTCATAAGAACCCTCATTTCTCCACGATCATCAATGAGTGTGTTGTGTCTCGATCAAAGCTTTCAGGAAACGGTTGTCCACAGTCTCGATATCATTAGTCAGGGGCATGGGAAGTTCAGCACTATAGGTAAAGCAAGGACATAGTCAAACAGAACAGGGTAGGTAAAAGCAGCAGAGGGTGTTAAAAGGTCTACTGAGCAGAGGTGGGGCGAAGCCTGGAGGGCTAAAAGACCTAACATCTCCCTCCAAAGAATGGCCCCGCAGCTCATCCTGTTAGGTAGATGACTTGAGAGAAAACACTGAGCTGGTGAGGTGAACTGGTGGGACACAGAACCCTGGCTTCACCTGTCATTGCTGACATCTCTCAAGAATGGATGGGGCCCATGTCACACTGATCACCCCAGGCATGGCCTAAACATTTTCCATCTAGGTGCTTTGGCTAGGACCCATTAGGGTCCTGAGAGATCCCAGGAAGAAAGGAGAGCCCAAGAAGATGAGTTGGGATGATCACACTATGCATAATCCCTGACTCTGACATCCATTCCTCTGGGATCCCTCTGCCTGAGCAGACCAAGAAAAATAGCTCTGCTACCTTGTGGGCCTGGTGGGAACTGAAAAGAACTAAAGCCTCAATACTGATTGCTGGAATACAGGGGTTTTCAAATACCATCCAGAACCAATAGGCCTTCCCAGGCCAAGAGAATCACCCAGACTCTTATAAAGAGCATATGAAAAGAACTGACCAAGGCCAACTAACCCTGAGGAAGGCCCTGGGTGCCGACCGGGTTCATCCCAAGCCAGAGACAGGAGGCTGCCCTTGAACAGAGGTATGTGGAGATGTATACTGCCTAGCCCAAGCAGATCACTGTATTAGCGCAGACATCATCTGCAGTCCAGGGTCAAAGTCAAGAAAGAAATATGCCACACAGCCTGTGTGCACAGGGTCTTTGACTCACCCCAGGACTCAGTCACAAATCTGCTGCCAGAAGATCAGTGATGACTACTGTGCAATTAACAGAGAAAGGTCAGAGTTCCAAATATATAGTTGTGACTAGACTAGACACCATCAACAATAAATTCATGCCAAGCCTGCCTGGGTTTAAGGGTGGGAAAGTCTACAGGCCTTCACCAATGAACAGAAGAAGATGTGGTTGACAGAGCGGCTCACCCCAAAGGCAATATTGAGAACATAGAGCCAGCTGGTACCACATTACATGGCGGTGACATCAGAAGTCATGAGAGTCACATCCTGTAGAGAATGGGGTTGGCAGAGGATGCCAGAAGATGATGAGGCATGCTATGGGAGAAGAGAGATTGGGTTGTTCACTCAGTGGGCAAAGAAGCGTGAGTATCTGCCTTCTGAAGTATCTTGTGAGGTTGTCCGATCCCCAGGCCAACCAGTCTCAGCAACCCTAATTCCATTCACCATCTCACTACTTCTTGTTACACTTAGCATACTTTACCCTCTACAATCTCCCTTTCCCATTCCCCTGTGAGGGCATCCTCTATCCCCCTCCCCCATATTTATTTCATATTATGGTTGTCTTAACCATGCCCAACATGGTCACTCACACACACACAAAAAAACCCTTCCCACCCTCCCAACCCACCCACCACCCCCAAGTAACTCACACTGCTGCAGGCTCCCTCTCCCTCTCCTTCTGCCCCTGTCACTCACAATAACCCCGCACTTCGGATCAAAAGCGAAGGTGCCACAAGTGAGGAGGTGAGAGGCATTGGCAATGGCGAGAATCTGGATAAAATTGTGACATTCGTCCTGGGGGGGTCAGAGATGGTTAGAGAGAATCAGAAGCAGTGGGTACAAGGAAGGATAGGATCAGGTACAGACAGTTAGAGGCAGCTGTGGTATGGGGGAGTATGGGTGATGTGTGGTGGTAAAGTCCTTACCTGGACCCTTCAGGATAGGAGCACTACTGGGGCTGACCCAAAGTCAGGGCTAGGTCAAGGTTCCCACAGACTCTAAGGACAGGCTGTGGGCTCACACCTACCTCTTTCTTTCCTTTCTTCCTACAGTTCTGTCTGTGAGCCTCGGGCACCATCCAGTCAATCTGAGAAAGAAAAAGAACTCTTTTCTCCAGGTTCCCTTCCCCGGCCCCCCTGCACACTGAGTTTGGGGGGAAGATATGGTTCTACAAATCTCAACAATCTGGAAACTTCCAAGATTTTTCCCACTCACTGCATGTCTTTTCAAAGTGGAAATCCTCCACCCATTAATGAGTTACAAAATCAACTATGAAATCAAAACCACATTTTTATTTTTGAGACAAGGTCTCAGACAGTCCAGGTCCGCCTCAAACTCTTTGTAGAGCTGAGGATGACCTTGAACTTCTGATCCTCCTGTGTCCACCTTCCCAGTTCCAGGATCACAGGCATACACCACCACACAAGACTTTATGAGGTGTTGGAGATCAAATCCAGGGCTTTGCCCACACTAAGCAAGCACGTCACCTACTGAGCATACCCCCAAACCACATTCTAAAGGAAATAGAATATATCAGAATTTGTCACATGTATGGCTCGCAATGCTGGTCCAAAGAAATTTTCTGTCAGGACACATTTACATTTACATACTTGTGCACTGTATCGGGTATACTAGAGTTCTTACTAATACGTGGTGAAAACGGTTTGCAAACTCTCCCTGGAAAGTCACCATTCTAGTGACCTCTGCCTCCTGCCACCTGTGCCATTGTACCCTCCCCCACCATCATGAGTCCCTCAAAGCCTCCCCCATTACCATGTCTCCCCATCACAGCCAAGACAGGTATCTCCTCCCTTACTGGCAGACTGACAAAGGCTTTACACCCTGTGTTGGTGTCCTCTGCCTCATCCTCTATTCAACACAGTGATGGCATTAACCATACCCACCATAGTCACTCACCGAAAACCCTCCCCTCCCGCCCATCACCCACCGCCCCCGAGTCACTCACGATGCTGCAGGCTCCCTCTCTCTCTCCTTCTGCTCCACTACATCTTTAGTTATTATGAAACTCTCCCACCAACAGCCCACAGAACGATGGCTTTAAATGTACGCTATGGGCTCTGGGTCAGCCCCATTGTGATCTCTCACCCTTCGAGGTCTTTCCCCTGAGAAGGGCAGGGTTAAAGCGAAGATGCTGTCCCGAGCACCAACGTAAAGTGTGTGAGAAGCAGGATCCACAAGGAGAGCAGAATAATTGTATGTGTGAGGGGCAGCAAACCGGGTGAGATAGGAGTCAGCCTCTAGAAGGAAGAGAAGAGAGGGGAGAATGACATCAGCCATCCCTTCAGAAACATAAGGTCCCCAAAGGAGGCCGATTTTTGTTATCTCCTGAGGACTCTTTATTTGACAGCCAACAAGGATTTTAAAAAAGAAGAAGAAAAGAAATGAGAACCTGGACAAGCCAACCATCTCCCTGTCCCCAGTTAAAGATAACTGAGAAGACCAGAATAGTTAGCACACAATCCAGTCAGGCACGCTTTTTCTAGAAAAAGAACACTTTAGCCGGGCGGTGGTGGTGCACACTTTTAATCCCAGCAGGCGGATCTCTGTGAGTTCAAGGTTGGGCTGGTCTGACAGCCTCCAAAACAATACAGAGAAACCCTGTCTCATAAAAAAAAAAAACACTTTAAAAATAATGGCACAAATATTAAATGTCTCTTCTACTCACAGCAATGTGATACAAAACATTAAATAAGCTATAGAAAGTACTAGTACTTCCTGATATCCTTCAGTTTTTTAAAGACACACTCTCATTATGTAGCCCAAGCTTCCTGCCAGCTGGGATCAACGGTGTGTTGCACCACAGCAAGCACTCTTTTGCCGACACATTTGGGGTGCACCTCCTCTTACACCCTACACCCTTGGCTTCCCCTTATCCCATCCCACCCAAACTGAGAGTGGGGTGAATGTGCATTTCCGAACTAGACCAGCCTGTATTTAAACGTGGTTCTTCCACTTGCCAACTGCGTGCACTGAGATGAGCCCTCTTAGGGCCTCACCTTCCTCCTCTTTAAACACCACCATCCAGGAGTGTTGGGAGAATAAAGGTGGCTAACAAGTGGGCATGCCATCCATCAATAAATGGTCACTTCCTTCCTTCCTTCCTTATCATGCATTCTGCTTAGACCCAAACCAAACTCATTATCAGCATCCAAAACTCTTAGCTATTCAAAGTTCAGTAACAACTTTGTGTGAATTCACCTTTGCTCAGTGTCTGGTTCTGGGGACCCAACTTCTGCACCAGTACTTCTCAATCCCACTGCCTCATCAGCTTGGATGCCCTCAAGAGGGCAGACCAGCTACTGATCCATGCACTCCAAGATGTGCCCGTGTGAGGCCCACCCATCCCATCCTTCCATAGCCACACTCACCTCTGCTTTCTACTCTTGACACTCAGGATAAGCCCTGAACTGTCAAAGCCCCTTTTGTGTTACCTGCTCTGCTTTGCCTGCCATCTAGGCCTCTCTGGACTCCTGGGTACCAATGAAGACTGGCACCCACAAAAATTCCCTTTGTGGGGCATGGGTTCGCCACAAACTGAAACTCCAGAGGCTCTGATCCCAACTTCTCCCTCTGGACTCACAGCGTCCTTAGATGTCATGTGTCCTAAGCATAAGCTGTAAGTTACTTCCACCCAGTTGTGAGTTTTGGCTTCATTGAGAAGAAAACAAGCCCCATACCATACATCCACCTCAGCAGAGAGAGTGTGAATGCCATTTGGAACTTTATAGCATCCCTGAATTCTCCCATGCCTTCATAAAGGACCTCCGCTCTGTCCTGTTTTTTTAATATATAATGTTTAGGTTTCTTTTGATAATTAAATAGTTATTTAATAATAACTATTGTTATTATATGTATATTTGTCTGTATGTATGGTCACACAAGTAACCACAGAGTCCTGTTCTCTTGGAGTCGGATGGCAGGTGGTTTGTAAGCCACCCGATATGGGTGCTGGGGAAAGAACTCATGTCTCCTGCAAAATCCGTCAAATGCCTTGCTATCTCTCCGCCCCCTTCTCTGTTTTTTATGAAGAATTTTGAATCGACTCATCTAAGTGTTTTGTAGCATTCAGAGTAGGGAATGCGTAGAGGGAGCACAAAACATCCAGGAAATGAAAGTTAAAGAGAGTTGATAACAGAAGAAGGGGAAGGATAAAGCCAGAGATGCCAGTCATATAGGAAGTGGGTGGAAAGATCTGAATCTGGATGGTAGTGGGAGGGCATTTGAAAGGACAATGGGGAAATGAAGCTGAAGACTGAAATGCTCGATTGGGGATCAAGGTGGGTACCTCGACTAGAGGAAGAAAGGAAAGAAGGGAGGAAGGAAGGGAGGGAGGAAGGAGAGAGAGAGGGGGAGGGAGGAAGGAAAGGAGGAAGAAAGGAAGGAGAGAGAGGGAAGAAGGGAGGGAGGGAGGAAGGAAGAAGGAGAGGGAGGGAGGAAAGGAGGGAGGGAGAGAGAAAGGAAGGAAGGAAGAAAGAAAGAAAGAAAGAAAGAAAGAAAGAAAGAAAGAAAGAAAGAAAGAAAGAAAGAAAGAAAGAAAGAAAAAGGGAATTCCATGGGCTTGGAAATGAAGTGATGGGTGTGAGTGTATGTGTTGGAAGCAGAGGAATAAAGGACTGAAATGGACAACCTTGGGCAAACCCCAGGCGCTCCCAGGGGCTGCACCTTGTTGAAAGGAGGGGGGGCGGCTTCCGGAAGCACTGTGGCTGTGTCTTGGGAGCTGAGGTAGGAGGCCAGGTTGGGGATAGGGTGGGGTGGGGTGGAATGGGATGAGATGTCCCAGTCTTGGTCTCAGAGGGGTGTGTACCGCGCAGAAGGGGCCTTGATGCTGCCGCTGGGGTTAGCAGGGCAGAGGGGTGTGGGCACCTGCTGGCAAGGGCTGAGTTCCGTGCAAAGGGCTGAGGACAGGGGTCCCAGCATCTTACCGGAGATGGGCAGCGAGATTCTGGGCACCGAGCGGGGTACGCGGCCGCACACCGGGGCGCTCAGCATCGCCAGCAGCAGCAGTAGCGACGGTGGCGGAGGGAAGGGCGAGACCGGAGGCGGCCGGGGGCCCGGGCGGGGCCGCGCGGCCCTGGCCAGCATCTCTGGCTCCGCCTGATGTCGGGTGGGGCACGTCCGGCAGCCTCCGATCAGTACCGCTACAGCTCGGACCTCGGCCCCTTTCGGGTCCCCTCGGCTGAGCTCGGCCTGCAGCGGCGAGATGAAACACAATCTGACTCCACCCCCTCACGAAGGAGCCAATGGAGAACCTGTTTCTTCCTATAACCAATCAAGATTGAGTGGAGGAGGGATGAGGAAGAGAGGCCCAACCCAGGTGGAGGCGGAGCTAGATCAGGTGCAGGTGTGAGATTCTTCCTCGGAAGAATGAGGGTGTCCCTACCTAGGCCTGGAGTCACCCGTGAGTTTGTTGCAGTCGCTCCAAATCCCCAAATATCCATAACTGTACTACTAGGGATATGTATGTAAGACTATGGAAAATATGTGGGTAAAGGGGAGCACGCACCGAATTTTTCAGAATTATTTCTTTGCTCCCTGCACACACAAAGATATGTTTATAAGGGCAGGAAAGACGGCTCAGTGGGTAAAAGCGCCTGCTGCTACACTTGAAGTCTGACTTTGATTTCACCCTCGTCCCCGCCCTAGGGACCTCACAACATGGAAAGTAGAGAACCCACTCGTTCGGGTTGTCCTCTGACATCCATATGTGTGCCACGGTACTAGTGCCCTCACGTGGACACAAAATAAATAGATTAAAATGGAGCATACATTATACATAAATAAATATATAGGAGTATATTAGTTACTTTTCTCTTCGCTAAGTTCCAACTTGAGGAAGGGTTTGTTTTGGGTCACAGTTGGGGGATATAATTCACTATAATGGTGGCAAAAAAGCAAGGAGGCTGCTCACATTTTTCATTCCCAGGAAATGGTGCCACCCTTAATCAGGGTGGGTCTTCCTACCTCAACCAAATCTAGTAACTCCCTCACAGAAATGCCCGGAGGTTTGTCTCAGAGTGGTTCAAGTAGACATTATTAACCGTCACACTGCAAAATCGAGCTGGAAAGACGGCTCAGCAGTTAAGAGCTCTTGCTGCTCTTGCAGATGGTCTGGGTTTGGTTCCCAGCACCCACGTGGTGGTTCACAACCATCTGTAACTCCCGTGCAGGGGATGTCATGCTCCCTCTTCTGGCCTCCATAAGCACTGCGTGTACAGGATACACAGACATACAAGCAGACACAACACCTACCTACACACACATGAAATAAAATTAAAAGTCTTAGTCCTTAAGTATGAGCTACGGTGACCAGAAAATGTGTTGACCAGAGACAAGAGTGACCACTGTGTAGTTGAGAGGAAAAATCCACAGAGGTGCAGCCAATGGATGGGGCCTGAGGAGGCCCCACAGCCCTGCTCTGCAGGTAATACTACCTCCTTCCCAGGCAGCTTTTAAGGAGCAGTTGCTGTGTTTTGGGGCAGGACTTTGAGATATAATGTAACTTCCTCCTGTTCCAGAGGGAACTTCTACTTATCATGTGTTTTATATGTTTGATTTCATTCCATCTCCTGGGGATCCCAGGAGGGAGACCTGAAACAAAAATTAGCATCCCCATGTTACTCTATGAGGAAACTGTATTGGGATTTGACGTCTTCAAGGTAGAGCTTATGGGCTTCGCACACACCAGCAGTTTTTAGCTTTTTAAACCTGCCCACTTAGGTATGTCTACAAGCCCTTTACTAACCATCGCTTCCACATTGAAAATGAGAACTTACGGATAATGACCAAAAAAATGCAGCAATTTTGATACATTTAGCTTGACATGATATTATTGTGAGTTACTTAAATGGCATACAATTATGAACAGACTTCACTATACTTACTTTCTCAATAAAGCTATAAAAATCTTACTTTAAAAATCCCACTTGAACCATAATAACTATAGACTATGGTCTAGTTAAGAGAGAACCTGGTGGGCTTGAGAAATGGCTCAGTGGTTAAGAAAATTTGCTGCTTTTCCAAAGGACTTGGTTCCCAGAACCCATGTTAAGCAGTTCACAACTGCCTGTAACTCTAGCTCCAAGAGATTCCACATTTCTTCTGGCCTCTGCTATCACATACCTATGCCATTTGCTCACACGTACACAGAGAGAGAGAACTTAGGTTTCAAATAATATGGATGTAAACATCTGCCAACTTACTAAGGGTTAACCAAATAACTCACAACAAATTTGTGACATTATCTAATTATCAATAATTATTAAGAATTACATAATTATTATGGTGGTTTAAATGAGAACTGTCCCCCATAGGCTCATGTATTTGAACATTTTGTCCCCAGTTTGTGGCACTGTTTGGGGGGGTTATTGAAGCTGTGGGAGGCGCTTCCTTGCTGGAGGAAGTATGTCACTAGGGTTGGGCTTTGGGAGTTTATAACCTCACTCCGTTTTGTCCTCTCTGCTTCCTGGATGTAGTTGAGGATGTGACTTCTCAGCTTCCTGTTCCAACTACCTGCTACTCTGCCTCCCCCACCATTATAGATCCTCCCTTTGGAAACAAAAGCCAATAAACTCTTCCATAAGTCCATAAGTCACTTTCGGTCACAGTATTTTATCACAACTGCAAAGAGTGACTAATATAAGTATAAATCAAGAATAACAGCTGAAGTCAGGGCCAGCTGGAAGCACCACTGCTGCTCATTATAAAATTGCAGGGTTTTATTCTACTTGTGATGTACACACAGTAGGTATTTTACAGACCAACAGTACATCTCACAGTGACTGGATAACGTACTTGGCCATCCAGAAATGCACTGATCAGTTTTGGTATGTTAGTGTTGATACATGTTAACAACCGAGTGGGAATGATGAGTAAGCAACCTTTAGTCACTTGTAGAATGGAAGTCTGGGATGGCATCTCATGTTGTTTGTGAGCAATGAGGACTTGCTTTATTTTTATTAACTCAAGCTGAAGACTGACTCAGGTCATCATATGCTGTTCTGTCTCCTAAGGAGCCTCTGTGTTAATAAGTGTTTGCTTTCTGGGAAGAGTTCTTGAACAAATCCTAACCTACTCTCTAGTCTTGGTCACGTTTCTATTCGGTGCACATTTCATGTTGGAAGACAGTTGTGGTTTGTTACAAATTTCTTCCAGCAGCCTCATTTCTTTTCTGTGATCAAAACTTCAATCGACCCAGTTCTACAACATGACATTTGTGGGGCTGGAGACTTGGCTCAGTGGCTAGGAGCACTTGTTGTTCTTGCAAAGGACCTAGTTTGATTTCCAGCACCCATGTGAAGGTTCACCGCTTCCTCAGGCACCAGGCACACATGTGCTGCACATCATACATGCAGGTAAAACATTCATACAGACAAAATAAACTAAATCTAAAAATAGATAATAAGAATTTAAAAAAGAGAGGGAGATGATCTTTGTGAATTCAGGAGTTGAGTAGTAATACTTGGTGCATTTATTTCTCTCTTCTGGGGTTGAGTGAGTAAAAAGCACCCTTCAATTATGCCACCTGTCATCATGAATTCTTTACCTGTACAAACACATCCAAATAAATTACCAGGCTTATGACCATGGATGCTTCTGACATTTTGAAGTATATGCACGGAGCTGGGGGAAATTTCTTCTTTACACCGTGAATCTCTCCTCCTTTTAGCTGTTTACCCTGTACTCCTCCTTCAAGTTTCCTTTACTAATCTTTTCCTTTCTCCCCAGGTCTCATTGCCTAATGTAAGCCTCTACATCTTTTGAGGTCTGGGTTATGTCTTCAGTCCTTGGCCATTCATCTCATTTGCTTCCTTCATGGTGTTACTAATGTTTCTTCATGATGTTACTAATGTTACTCCATGCTGTTACTACCCAAAAGTAAGCAAACACTTTAAAATTGGGGGAAAATAAGCTTTTGCTTTTGTTTTAGTCGCTGTTCTTTTACTGTGGTGAGACACCATGGCCAAGGCAACTCTTACAAAAGAAAGCATTTAACTGGGGGTGGGGGCTTGTTTACAGTTTCAGAGGCTTAGTCCACTGTCATTCTGGGGTGGAGCATGGCAGCATGCAGGTATAAGGTGATACTCATTGCATTGATTAACTTTCTTGCGAACATCTCATATGCCATGTTTTCACCTGTTTATTCATTGGGTGACTCCCCCCCCCACTAGCATAGAAACCTTGTAGTAAGAGTTATGTTTTTTGTTGTTGCCATACCCTTCATATCTAGCACAGAACTTGCATAAAGTAAACATTCCTATTTTTTTGTTTCTTTTGTTTTTTGAGATAGGGTTTCTCTGTAACTTTGGAGCCTGTCCTGGCACTCACTGTGTAGACCAGACTGGCCTCAAACTCATAGAGATCCACCTGCCTCTGCCTCCTGAGTCCTGGGATTAAAGGCAGGTACCACTACCACCCAGCCAACATTCCTATTTTTGAATGGGTGAATAAATGTACAATTTATCAATCCCTGCCATTTGTCCAGCTGCCATTTATTAACACTGCTCTTCAGAATTGTTCTCATTTAGAGTTATTGTGTTAGATGCTCAAGATATAGACCATTTCTATTATCAAAGAAGGTTCTATTGGATTGAGATACTTAGAGTTTCACGTTTACTTTCCAGATACTGTGAATTCATATTTCTGCAGTGTCATTCTTATCAAAACTGTCAGCAATCCTGAATACTATATGAAATTAAGTTCATACTTCTTAGTGCAAACTTTAGACCTTTACAGTTACATGTATTCATATATACACATAAATATTAATTATAGATAATATATTATATATACATGTACACACACAATATAGGGAGAGTCATTCAAGCCCATGGCACACAAAGTCATCTGTTCCATAGTGTATGACCCCCGTGGGACTTGAGGGCCAAAGGAATCCCTAAAAGCAATCTGATGATTCTTTGCTGGGCCACAGATAGTAAAGTCTTTCCTTTCTGACTGAGGGTCTTACATCACCATGGTGTAGTTAGAGACTATTAAATAGGATGAAATCAAATTCCAGACCCAAAAAATGTCCCATCATGTCAGATCAGGGTTGGTTGGTGTGGTGTGGAATCGGCTGTTCTGACTAAAGAACAATTCTGCTCATGTAGAGATTGCCCTCCACTTCCTGTATTTCCACTTCACCTTGATCAATCCCATTTTAACACGTCCCCCTGAAAATTCCCCCTTTAAAAAAATCCAGATTCTTAAGATCTA